TGTGGTTGGCACCCTATTCACTGAGCTATGGGTGCCAAGCCATAGAAGCTTTTCTACCCTCCCGTCTTTTTTTTTTTTTTTTTTAAATTCCTCCTTTCCTTTCTTTTTTTTTTCCTTTTCCTAATCTTACTATGTTTCACTCTTACATATCACCCTGCATGCTCACCTGGATGTCCCGGGCCCGTTCATAGGACTGATAGGCAATTTTCTCTTCCATGCTGGCTAATTCCTGCTTCAAGTTCAAGATTTCATTCTGGTGGAGCTCCGTTAGGTCATTTAGTTGCTCTTCTAATCGTTCACATCTAAAAGAACAGGGAAAAGGAGGAATTTTATCTATTTTGTGAGTATCTTTCCTGGTATAATTTTTATCCAATTCCTAAAACCCATCAGGCAAAGGACGAAAATAAAAGTGCAAAGAAACCGAGTGACCCGAGACAACAGGGCACGCCAGTGGGTTCTGCTTTTAGTTTCTGGAAAGAACATGTCACAAGACCAAATCATATTGCAACATGGCTTTTCCATAATCTTCTCAACACACGGTATTTGCAGTGATGCCAGCAGCCCTGGTTAGCTTTCAGCACACCTGTAACACTGAGGCAGTCATGCTGCTCTGAGCAGCCCATGGGAGAACAAAAACTAGAAGTAAACAAACTTCCTCAGAAGATAAAAGGTGCATAAATGGAAACTGACCTAGCAGTCACCAGGCGCTTACTCTGTCACTGGACAGCTAACTCACCTGGATGTTTGTGATTCAGAGCCCTAGAATACCAGAGCCAGAGGGTGCATTACCCTAATGGTCAAGCACAGTGTCCTGGGACATTTCCATCAGCACAGATCCACTGAGAGCCTGCTGCATGCCAGGCATGTTCAAAGTACTGGAAATACCATCCTAAGCGAGACAGAGAACCTGCCTTCACAAGTCTATGTTCTATAGGAGTGGGGTGGGGAGGAGAAAAACCAAGACACTTTAGGTTTGGGTAAGTAAACTAAAGATGGCTAGCAGCATAGGAAGAGTGTTTGAAGGCTGGTGATGCTGGAATGGTCAGGGAACCTCCTTCCCTGTTCAACTCTATTCAACAATGAGTGCTGAAACTTGGGTGACACAAACAGAGCCTTGTGAAGATGAGGAAAGAGGAACATCTTAAACCGAAGGAAGAACAAATACAACCTTCTTAAGAAGGGTACTATAGTTCGGCATGTCTGAGGGATGGAAAGTGGGTCAGTGTGGCTGTAGCCGAGTAAAAATCAGGGAGAATGGAGGAGGAGGAGGAGGAGGAGTTATGGTTCCTCTAGAGGAAGGGTTATTTTAGTCATCTTGTAACTCTAGCACTTAGAACCCTATCTGGGAAGCTTTACTCTGCATAAAAATGGAACTTGGCCAGGCCATCTAACCATCTAAGGACCAGCAGGATTAGAAAAAGTTTACAGATGACATCAGAAGTTCTAGGTGGAAAAAGAATGACAGGTAAAGAGCTGGAGGTAGAAATGCAATTAGAAATGTATAGAGTAACTAGAATAGTGGATCCGTATTGGAGAAACAAGGAAAATCTAGAAGATCAGAAGAATTGAGATTCTGGAATAGTCAGTCAATGAGCCCAAAGCAGATTAGTGAAGGAGGAAGTCACAGAATGAACACACTGTTTTAGGAATGAGTTACCTGGTAGGACAGACTGCAATAAGTTGTGTGTGGTGTCCCAGAAACCAAAGACCTAGATAGGCAGGAAAACGGATGAAGACTACCCATTAGAAAACACTAGAAACAGAGGGTCAAAGAAAGGTAAGAAAGAATAAACATGTCTCTAGCTTCTGGTGACTAGACTGGAAGCCTCTCTGTCACACAGAGAACAGCTGGACAGGGTCATTCCAATAGGTAACATACCACCACTTGGGCAGCACGCACTGAAAGGAATAAAAGGAATAAAACTGCTAGAACAGACACAACCTTTAAAACTAGCCCTTTCCTCCTGTTTTAAATCCTATTTGTAGTGTGGAAACCTTTAAGAATACGAAGGATTTCTGTGTGGAAGGTAATTTTTATGTTGCAGTGTTCTCTTTAAGAAATATATAATAAATAATACTTACATCCTAAACTCTATTTCTTCTCTAAGAAAAAAAGATTTTATAAAAAAAAAAAAGGCATAGTTTGACCCCTTTAGCTAGGTTACTGCATTCTATTTAGTCCTCCTTTCCCCTTGATAGGAATCTCTGTACTGCTTCCTCCTCTGCTGAGACTCCTCCTGTTAACTGAAGCGAGTGATTGGACTGAGCAGAAAGCAGTCCCACCTCTTAGGAGGAACGAGGGCTGACAGTCTCTGTGACTGCCCTTCTGTTTCATCTCATTTCAGCTCAGGGCATGTGCACAGAAACAGGTGCCATCTCTAGGATTGATTTTCCACCAATTTTTAAGTTTACCAAATGCCATAAGGTTATGTTTACATATTGTCTTTGCGTGATTGTTCTACTTAGCCACAATCTGTGGTGTTTTGGTGTTTGATAATTCCATCGTTGTTTCTCTTCACCAGGGAGACTGGAGACATTTACAAAGTAGTGTTCCAAAGTGTTGGTCTCTTAAGACTTAAAGGAAATGTTTATCTGGCAGCAAATAACTTGCCTAAGCTAAGGGTTGGTGTTGGGTGGTAAGGAGGGAAGCACGATGGTGGTGGTCACCAGCTTGCTTACTGATGAAAGCAGGCACATGTTACTTCTCTGGATATGTCCCATAGGCCACCACCCAACCTCTTGGTCCACAAACTGTAGTCTTTCTGGCCTGGCGGGACTTTGAGGAGTCTTGATAGATGTTAAACATGGCTCACACATAGCACTAGAACAGATTATACAACAGCAGCAGCAACAACCCCGTATTCAGTGCCTACTGTGCAAATTCATTTCCATAACTGTGACTCTTAGAAAGTATCTGCATTCTTTTTTTATTTTTTTGAGACAGAGCCTCAAGCTGTCCCCTTGGGTAGAGTGCCGTGGCATCACAGCAACCTCCAACTCCCGGGCTCAAGCGAGTCTCCTGCCTCAGCCTCCCAAGTAGCTGGGACCACAGGCACCCACCACAATGCCTGGCTATTTTTTGGTTGCAGCTGTTATTGTTATTTGGCGGGCCCGGGCTGGATTTGAACCCACCACCTTAGGTGTATGTGGCTGGTACCTTAGCTGCTTGAGCCACAGGTGCCGAGCCAAAACCCAGATTCTTAAACTTTACTTGTGATGTCACTTAGAAACTATTCAAGAAGCCCAAATCAACTAACTTCCTTGATAGTAAGAAATTTGAGTCAGCTGGGCGCAGTGGCTCACGCCTGTAATCCTAGCACTTTGGGAGGCTGAGGCCAGTGGCTCACTTGAGTTCATGAGTTCAAGATGAGACTGAGAAAGAGTGAGACCCTACCCCCACCCGGTCTGTACTAAAAAATGAAAAACTGAGGAAAGAACATTGCTCAAGCCCAAGAGTTTGAGGTTGCTGTGATCTATGACGCCATGGTCCTTTACCCAAGACGATAAAGTTCACCAAAAAAAAGAAAAAAGCAATTTGAGTCAACTGATAGCAATCTAAACCATACAGCCACAAAAGAAACCAGACGGTACTACAATGGCATGATAGTTTGGAACTCGATGTCAAGATGGGATTGGTGGGCGCCGCCTGTGGCTGAGTAGGGCGCCAGCCCCATATACTGAGGGTGGTGGGTTCAAATTCAGCCCTGGCCAAACTGCAACAAACAAACAAACAAACAAACAAACAAAAAACAGCTGCTGGGTGCCTGTATTCCAGCTACTCGGGAGGCTTAGGCAAGAGAATCGCCTAAACCCAAGAGCTGGAGGTTGCTGTGGGCTGTGATGTCACAGCACTTTGCCAATGGCGACAAAATCAGACTTGTCTCTTTAAAAAAAAAAAAAAGATGGAGGTGGTAAGAGAAGGAGATGTGTAATAAAACAATTAGGGACCTATAATCAAAGGACAGTGAATGTTGGCAATGATGTGGAGACACTGGAACCCTCATATACTGCTGGTAGGAATATAAAATGGGATAGCTGCCTTGGAAAACAGTTTGGCACTTCCTCAAACAGCTAAACATAGTTACCACATAACCCAGCAATTCCATTCCCAGTACACACCAAAAGAGAAATAAAAACTTTTTTCCACACAAAAGCTGGTACATGAATGTTCATAGCAGCAGTATTCATAATAGCCAAAAAGTAAAAACATCCCAAATGTGTGTATGTTCACTGTACAAAAGAAATCACCTTAGCTGTTCCCAAGTCAAGTACCCATATTTTCTACCATAACCAGCTGTCGCCTTGCAATTTCCAGTTCACTGTATTCCCTTCTCCTTCAACTGATAGATGCTCGTAGAAACAAAAGGGCATAAACACAAATGTGACTGCAGTTCTGCTTTTCAACTAAATGTATGTATTAAACTCCGGAGTCTCAGGTAAAACCATTGTGCAAATTCATCTCCCCGTTTCCCCGTACTGCTTTCCTGCCCCCATGTCAACAGACTTCCTACTGCAGAGATAGTTTACAGCAGTGGGAAGATTCTTGTGATCTTATGATGGGCTACTTCCTAACAAACCCCTTCTAAGTCAAACTACCATAAATCAGGGGCTCCAGCATATGTCTTTGTATGCCACCCAACAAAGACGGTTCCTAGGACGTGGGTGGGGTGGCAGTGGGGACGAAGGCATTCTTTAGCAGCAGACTCTGAGCTCTAGTGCCGCCTTGCCCTTATCTTGCTGGCTTATCCAGACTCAGGATGAGGACAATAGAACAGACAGCTTGCTTATCTTTACAAATACCAAGAGTTGAGAGACAGCTGAAACTAGTCAGCAGGAATTGAGTTCAAAATAATCTTGACAGATTCAAGCATAGTCAGGAGTTTACTAGGGATTAATTTTATAGAAACAGACTGGGAGCTACTTCTTACTACTGAATGCACATATCAGAGGACATGCAGATGAGGGGGTAATCTGTTCTTTGTGAAACCAAAGAATTAAGGGGTAAGATTTATAAATAGCTAGGCTTTTAGTTCAGTTTTATTTATTTATTTTTTTGAGACACAGTCTTGCTTTGTCACCCTTGGTGGAATGCGGTGGTGTCATAGCCCAAACTCCTGGGCTCAAGTGATTCTCTTGCCTCAGCTTTCAGAGTAGCTGGGACTACAGGTGCCCACCACAATGCTCGGCTATTTTAGTTCAGTTTTAGAAAGAAATTTCTAATAGCTATGTCTAACATTGAAAAAAAAAACTATCTCAGGGAAAGTAAGAGCCTGCCACTGGAGGTATTATTCAAAAAGAGACT